GCACTAGTCAAGCTTGTCTGCGTTCAAAAGGCCAAGCAGATCTCGCTTGCAAGCCAAAGCTCACCAATACGCAGAGCTCGCTTACAAGCTAAAGCTCGCCTATATGTTTGGCTTGCGTGCACATGCCAAACCTTGCTAATCTCGCTTTTTTACTTGACTCACTAGCACGAATCAAGCTCGCCTGATTATCGAGCTCGCAAGCATGAACTCGACCTCGCTTGAACACCTTGCTCGCACGCACAAGTCAAGCTCGCTTGCAGTGAGTTCGCTCGCACGAACCCAGCTTGCCAATGAATATCAGCTCACACGCTCGAGGGGTCCGCCAGCCGACCCCGCCCAGCTTGCCAATGAATATCAGCTCACACGCTCGAGGGGTCCGCCAGCCGACCCCGCCTATTCACCAAGCTCACCTACAAGCTTGCTTGAACATTCAAGTAGCTCTCAAGCTCGCTTGCGAGCCTGTTAGTCTCGCCTAAATAGTGCAAGTGGCTACTTACTTATAGGAGTGGGCCTACCCACTTCCCACATTCTAGGTAATGAGGTATAGCTCCCATCATCCTTATAGTGGTCACATCCCATAGCTATAGAGGGAGTATGCTACTCCTTACTCGTATTAGTGATCACATCCCACAAATCAAAGAATGACTCATGCCATCTCTTGCCTATTTATAGCCACCTTTGGCCAACATATAGGAGGTTGGCATCTTGGAGATCAAAAATCCAAACTCTTGAGGCTTAAAGTGGTGCTGCTGACAATCTTTTCAAAAGTTTGGCATCTCCAAGGCTCTTCAAACAGAGGCTCTCTCATTAGCTTGCTTTGTAGAACTTTCCTAGTTTTTTGCTTGGATTGTTGAAGTAGACTCAATCTGAACTCTCAGATTTGAGACTATTGCATATTAGCCTTCTCTAAGTATTCAGCTTTGATAATCATCAAGCTCGGGTATTTATCGATTTCAATCACACCAGAGCTTCTACTGCGTACTAAAGCTCAACCGCAACTTCGATCAGATCGTCCAAGGGAAGCAAAATTGACACAAGCATCGAGGGAGGTGTCCTATCGCTACCGAAGAACCCAAGTTAAACAAGGACAGTCTTCTCTCCGCTTTTGTTGTAAATCTTGGATTTTATTGATTTGTAATAAGTCATTCTTATCAATACAAATCTTGCATCGAGACCTAATTTTTACTCCCCTACAGAAGATGGAGACCACAGTGGGAGGGATCGTTTCTTCAATCAAAACGGTGGTGTCGCGGTTCGACAAAGCTGCAGAGGGGACGAGAGTCGAGTCCTTTGTGATCGAGTTCGACCAAGCTAAGTACGATGACTACTTATCTTCTTTCTCCTCTAGCGGTAAAGCTTCTCGATTTCTAATTCAGTCGACTGATTTCTGATATTTTAAGTTGACAAATTTCTAACATTTCCAGTCGATCGATATTAGCAGTCGATCGATTCATCATCCAATAGTTTTTTTCATGTTCCCCTCATTATCTTTGTGTACCCCATTTTGATATTGAAAAATGGGGAGAAAATTTTATAAGATTTGTGTGCATATAGATAGGGGGGCATCTATCTATAGGTAATTTTTTTCTTTTATTTCTTTATTTTTTGCTCTTTTATAATGTGGTTTGTCATCATCAAAAAGTGAGAGATTGTTAGGTCTTATTTTTTGATGATGATTTACAAACCTCATTATTGGTACTAATTGCTTGTCAAGTGATCATACACATGATATGTTTATCAAGCAATATAGTGTCATGTAAAGGAGGATGGATGGATTTGTACTTTAACAATGATATTCATGAAGCTGAAGGCAAGTTGATGAAGAAGCCTTAAATGCTCAAAGATCGACTCAAGCAAATATCTACTTAAGAAGAGCATTCAAGTATATATTCAAGAAGAGCTTCATCAACAAGACTTAACAAATATCGATATTCAAGCATTGTATACATTCGTAAGTGATATTTGTATTTTGTTTCTCTCTAGATCATATTCTAGGCAAGAAATTAATTTGATAACTCTTGAAGCATTAGGGGATTATACACACACACACTTCAAAGTTCGTTTCTTGACAAAATCCTCAAAGAACCATTTTAACAAAAGTTTGTTTGAATAAAATACTTTCAATTCTTAGTATATTGTATCTTAAAGTATTTTCCAAAGTTTCATAATTTTTGGAGTTGTTCGGCTATTTTTTTTCTTGCTTTCATTGACTGCCAAATTAAGCAGTCAGTCGTCCGAACAGTCGACCAGTCGACCGAACAATCGACCAGTCGACCGGGCAGATGCTGTTTTCACAGTCACGATCGAACGGTTAACTAGTCGACCAGCTATTAGAAGCGGTCGACCAAATAGTAATTCAGTCGACCAACCAAGTTTTTTAGTGGACTGTGTGGAAGCTGTTTTTTATAGCAACTGCTATTTCAGTCGACTAGTCGACTGGCTGTTTGAATCGGTCGACCTAACGGTAACTAAGTCGACCGGTCGTGTTTTTCAGTCGACTGAGCCGTAGCTGATTTACAGTAACGGCTATTTGATTTGACTTGATTTTGTGATGATTGCAAAAACGGTTTTCAGCAAATTTCTTTTAATTTGAAGCTGATAGGATTTGACTTCAATTAGATTTGGTTAAGAGGCTATAAATAGTCTTCAAGATCAAATTGATTTGCTAAGGAATTTGAGATTTCAATTTTTAGATTTTAAGCTTAATTATTCAACTCATTCTAAGCTTATTCTCTTCTCAGTTTTCACTTTCACATCCTCACAAAATCACAGTGCTTCAATAGTCTATCTCCTTACTCTTGTCATAAGATTCTTATAAGAGAGGTCATTATCTTTTTATTGTGAGGTATTATGTGGAGAGTTAGATCTCGAGGAGATCATTATGTAAGAAGTTCCAGCTTTCAAACCGGATTATGGAGTGGATTATCATCGAGAGAGGTAGTCGGGGACGTAGGTTGAGATTGGCCGAACCTCATGAACATATTGCCGTCTTCAATTGGCTAACTATCCCTCACCCTCTCCTCTATATTTTGCTTATTGTCATATTTTGTGTCTTTGATTGAATTGTATTTTCATTAGTTACACGTTTTGTTTGATTACCCTATTCACAATCCCCCTCCAGTGTACTTTCAGGTTTAACACCCCAAGATTCTTTTTTGTAGAAGGTAACACTTTAAGGTTCATAATTTAATCATTCTCAAAATGTGAATCCAGTGGTGTTAATTGCTACTATACAGTCGAGGGAGATAAATGCGGCTAAAGGTATGTTTTTTTGGGAAAATCTTTTTTTAACCCAAAGTTTTACTTCAACTTATTTTTAAACCCATCTTCTTTCATTATGAAGGGAAAATCTTTTTTTAACCCAAAGTTTTACTTCAACTTATTTTTAAACCCATCTTCTTTCATTATGATCCATACACCCAAAATACAACACCCACTTATTTATAAACCCAAAGTATCACTTATTTATAAACCCAAAGTATCAAATACACCATATTTCTGGTGCTCCTCCCACTCAAAAAAACCCTAAAACACTCAAAAACACTCGACTACTGACGCATCGTGTTTATTGGCCGATTATCCACCGCGTCGGGCTGTCCTCGTTGAATTTGTTTATTGGCCGATTATCCACCGCGTCGGGCTGTCCTCGTTGAATTTCGAAGCTTCAGGCAAAGTATAGCACGTTACGGTAAAGTATAGCACCTTATGGCCAAAGTATAGCACCTTATGGCAACGTATAGCACCTTATGGGCAAAGTATAGCACCTTAAGGTCAAAGTATAGCACATTATGCTCTCTAAAAATTCTGCACATCAAGTTGTCGAGAACCATTTTAGTTTTTTTCCCCGCAACGAAAACATTCGACGATCGACGCATCGTATTTATTGGCCAATCATCTACCGCGTCGGGCGGTCCTCGCTGAATTTCGAAACTTCAGGCAAAGTATAGCACTTTATGGGGAAATATAGCACCTTATGACCAAAGTATAGCACATTATGGCAAAATATAGCACCTTATGGTAAAATATAGCACCTTATAGGCAAAGTATAGCACCTTATACCCAAAGTATAGCACCTTATCTCTCAGACGGTCCTCACTAAATTTCAAAGCTGCAGAATTTCCAGAGAGCATAAGGTGCTATACTTTGGGCATAAGGTGCTATACTTTGCCCATAAGGTGCTATACTTTGTCATAAGGTGCTATACTTTGGTCATAAAGTGCTATACTTTCCCGTAAAGTGCTATACTTTGCCTGAAGCTTCAAAATTCAGCGAGGACCGCCCGACACGGTAGATGATTGGCCAATAAATACGATGCGTCGATCGTCGAATATTTTCGTTGCGGGGAAAAAAACTAAAATGGTTCTCGACAACTTGATGTGCAGAATTTTTAGAGAGCATAAGGTGCTATACTTTGACCTTAAGGTGCTATACTTTGCCCATAAGGTGCTATACTTTATCATAAGGTGCTATACTTTGGCCATAAGGTGCTATATTTTCCCGTAAAGTGCTATACTTTGCCTGAAGCTTCAAAATTCAACGAGGACGGCCCGACGTGGTGGATAATCGGCCAATAAACACGATGCGTCAGTAGTCGAGTGTTTTTGAGTGTTTTAGGGTTTTTTTTGAGTGGACGTGGGCTCCTCAAAGTTCTTTCGTCTTGCAGGACCAATCACTTGAAAAGGCCTGACCCTTCAGCCTTAGTGGATCCCAGGCTAACCTGCATCTGTTTTAGCCCAAGCCCAGCTATATACAACAGCAGACAGAGATGTACCCTCACTGGAAACTTGCGTATGTTTTCAATTCATCGACCACAACATACTGCATTCACTAGCAACACAAGTATCGACATTCGGAGAAGTTTCATAAATAGAGTATCCATGAGCGGGCAACAATAATCTTGAGAAATAAAGAAGAAGGGAAAAAAATCAGCTTGGACGTTACTAAAAGTTTCCTCTCCCCATATTCAAGAACCAGACATTGTATCTAATCTGAAGCCAATCTTGGATTCCTGAACTATCATGTTATTAACTGAAGCATTCCATTCATTCAGACATCTTATTGATCAAGACAGATACAAAAGTCCCAGAACATTCTATTGTCACTCGTCATTTTATTCTACATATTGCAAATTAATCCATCTAGAAGTTTCTGAAAGGCTTATATTCTCTGAGATCATGAATTAGACCTTGCAGAGATCCACAAGCTGCAGCCAGAGACACTACTAAGCAAACCAAACTCATAATTTTCAACCAAATCCACATGCCAGAAAACCTCTGAACCTTAGCCTGTGATATGTACATCTCAACTGGAAAATAAACCGTCAGGGGCCAGAATGCTACGCCACCCACAAACCCTACGAAGCTGTTGAAGAAAGGGAAGGTCATGGCAACGACTGCAGTTATAATGACATACACTGTTCTCCAAATCACTCTAGTTATATTGAATGAGAGACTGCCGAGCAAGGGAACTGAGATAATGTGATCAGATGTGAAAAAGCCTCGACTATGCCATCGTGTGCCACTCCAATTTTCAACGAACTGAAACACTGGTTGGCAGAAAACCTGCATGAAAACTCAATATGCTAGTGACAAGAGTAGGCGTTTAACATATATGGACTTATATTTAAGATGATTCCCTAATGATTTTATGGGTATGGGTCAAAACACAATCCACCCAAATGAGTGGGCAAGCTGGGAATCAAGTTGGACCCGATACACCAAATCTAGGGTTTCTTCTCTTCCTCCCTATAAAATACATGTGAAGACAAACAGCTTGAAATCTAGCATATTGCATCCCACATCTAGCCACCACTCCTTTCTCCCTTGGTTCTTGTTTAAGTGTTAGTTGAGGGGTGAATAATTGGGGATTTCTCAGCTATCAAAAGGTGTGATCATATCCTCCAGCCATTGTGCAGGACTTCAAGGTGAAACAAAGAAGAAAGATCCTCAGATATAAATCTACCCAGGTATTTAAGATTCCTAGACAAGCATACAAAGACTTCATGCTTCCAATGTATGATCCGTATGTTATTGAAATGAATAGATGTACAACTTGTTTTGGATCGATAAACATGATTAGCAGCGGTCTACATGATAGAAACAAGATGGTTCGCAAATTAAGGCATGTCGAAATTAGACCACAAGCTTACCTGATATCCACCAAGCAGATGAATGACTATGCAAATATTGCCGATGTCAATAAGCCAAAAGGGTTCGTAGAAACCAAAACCTGTAAGGAAGTTGCCAGGAGCTGCATTTCCAAAGGCAAGATATCCAGTGACACCACACAACATGTAAAAGACAGTCGTGGTGCTTACTCCTATCAGGGCAGATTTCTTCATCGTTTTGTTCTCTGGTGGACTTGATTTTAGGGTGTCCTACAAGCATTTGATGCATCATTATATAGTAAGAAACATCACTAATTTGATCTGTCTATTTGAAAGCATCATTTATACTGCAAAATGTATATGATTTTTCAGTTAATATGTCCTCCATTGATCTCTACAGTGCTTTCTAATCAAGTGATATCTCTCTGTCTCCTCTTTTTCGAGTTATTACAGGGGCAAGTAACTAGAAAAGCATGGTTAATTGGTTTTCGACATAATCCGGTGTAGATAGCTACTATACAGTTAATTAAGTTTTAGACGACTAGAAATCAATAAATTTAATTCAATGTATTACCTAAGAGTCGTTATTTTAACGTAACTACTTAATAAGTTGGATAATATAAACTTGTAATGATTTTCCAATAAACTTTTCAATGAGTTAATTGAATATGTTACGCCTTGTTTGGTAAGCAGGAATCAGGTGGAATAGAATGCTCATCCCCAAAATCAGGTGGAATAGAATACTCATACCCACTTTCCATTGGAGCATACCAAACACAATACGTTTTTGGCTGGGAATGTTCATTCCCACACTTTGTGAGAATGAGCATTCTCTTTGAGTTGTTAAGAAATGGTCATTGTCACTGAGATGAGAATAAAAAAATAAAAATAAAAATCCAAAAATACCCTGATTCCCAAATGGCACTCAAAAGTGAGAATGAGAACTATCGCTCCATTCCGACATTTATTCCATCACATTCCTTACTTCATTTCATTCACACTTGACACAGATTTCCATGCTACAAATTAGGTGTAAATTTCTTAAATTAGCAATGACATAGACATTGAACAAAATTATACACGTTCAGATATTTGTTTGTAATGAAAGGGAGTGAGAGGGTTTAAGTTGCAGATCTATGACACTGCAGAGAGGGGGCGGCATGGTCCGATAACCCGATCTGTATCCTACCCTGACCTTCCAACTTGACCCATGAATCATATTTAATAGCTTAAAATATAGGTCCTAAAGATATATATGTTTCTTTATTTGGATTTAGAAAAAGATCCTTAAGAAAAACAAACCTGATGATCTCATAATTGGATAAGTATTTAAATCGATAAGTTTGCTTGGTTCTAGTTATTTTATTTCTTCAATAACATAATTACATAAAAGATATATAAACATGGCTGCTATTACTAAAAGATAGTAAAAAAACATAACATAATTACTAATGAAAATTTAAACATAACATAATTACTAATGAAAATTTGTAAATGCTGTTGTAGAAAGCATATGTGCATAACGAGCAAATTCATGGAAAAGTTGAATCTTCACAAGTCAAATGCAGCTACGGATGAATTATTTACTTGACCACAAAAAATGACCATATCTCTTAATCTGGACGGCAGATTCTAACATATTATACGTAAAAATCACCTATCTCGACAAGATGAAACCATCCAGATGGACAAAATTTTGTATTTATATTAATATTTAGTTTATTTTTAGTAATAAAGTGGAAGTCTATTTAGATTTAGAAACAAAATTCAATTTTGATTCATGTTGGACTGATTTGTTTCCTCTATTAGAGGGAGTCTTTTTAAGGGTAGGATTTAATACTTTCTATATGTCTATTCTTGTTATGAGTCTATTTTATTTTTCTATATAAGAAAAGGCATGTAACCCTAAAAAGAAAAGGACACTTTTATCAATAAAATTCCTCTTATTATTTTTCTTCGTGGATTCGAAACTCTTCGAGGATTTGAAGATCATTTTTCGTGAACTCAAAAAGCACCCCTTGGTGGATTCTGAGGTTTATCACTTCTCCACTGCGATAAATGCCTACTTGATTCTTAATATAAATCAACATTTTTAAAAGACAAAAAATATTGGATAACCAAAACAATGAAAAATAATGAACCCTAAGCTTAATAAATTATTGGATTTGGATCTTCAAGTGCATTCCAGATTTCTTAGTGGGTTTGGATTCTTCTATAGATCCTACGAATTTATAGTGCACTAACTACAGATGGGTGGCTTTGTTGAGAAAGTGCTCAGCATCAGTGAATTTAGAAAATCATAGCGTCAATGATGTTGCATGCTAGAGATCTAGCATCCATTTCAGCTCGTTAAGATGAACAAAAATCTCCGTATTTCATACCCAGGCCATTATTTGTTTGCTTGTTGTTTTCATGCCATCCGTAAGATCAAAGACTTGGCTCAGATTATTCTTCAAACTCATGATGGACTCCCCTGATAAGGATGATGTCTTCTTCTTCTTTTTTATTATTATTTTTTAACACGTCTTTGTAGTAAAGTACAAGTGGCTCAAATAGATCTTGAATATGAAAACTAGCAATATAGCCTTGTTAATCCTTCAAGAATAAAATAATTCTCGATTTTAATCCATGAGTGGTTTATGCCAATATATCAGAAACTTGAGATAATAGAACAAAAAGATTTAGCAATAGTTTACCAGTAGTTTTTAATGATTTTGAAGTTACCAAATTTTGGGGAGTCGGTATTAAATCTATGCCTGATTGCTCCGTATAAAGTTCTTCTAACCCCATTTTCAGATGTTTTTAGTGAATAGGAAGGAGAAAAAGCTTCCTTATTCATTATGTAAGGGAAATAAGGAAGTGAGACCAGGTTTACACTGATTTCACCTATATTTCTATAAGGAAAGTTATTGTTTATATAGAATGAGCTGATGAAAGAGCAACAAAATGTAGCGTTGGCTTTTCAAAGTGGTTAATTTATTTACAAAACGATTTTCTAGTAGAAGCTTTAGAACAATAGTACCTTTCTTTACTGACAGGAACAAACAAAAGACAAGCCTTTATTATAGCTGTTGCAAACAAACTCCTCTGCAGGGATCTGGACAACCCCTTGACTGTTATCTCAAAAGAAAAGGAACCCCATGATATATTTTAAAACCAGAAAAAAGACACTAAAATATGTTCTAATGAGTAATCATACATGGTTGCACTTTAAGATGGTGGAATATGCAGTGCATTTAAAGCTCTACCTTGGCACATGCATATTCTACTCAAAAGGGTCGTTACCATTCAAGACTGAAATCACGTTACAAAATTAGAAAAAGTTTCCAAAAAGATAGGACTGCCAAATTAAACGATGGCCAGCGATGCAAAGGACTAGGATATAAACACTTTTGCACATATAAACTATAAATATGTATTCTTTGAAATTTTCTTGGAGTATAAACATCCATTCTTTAGAGGCATTTACGCACACATGGAAGAGATCAGAATTTCAATGAAGAAAAAACTAAAAAGGAAAGAAATGAATCTTGATGTTTGAAGTAAATCTTTATTAGTTACCTGAATTTCTATGAGAACTAAAGCAAAAGAGAAAGCAGAGGCAACATTTCCTAGAGCTTGCAACATCTTCCACACCTTCTCCCTGCTAGACAGGTCCATTCCAACTGGTAATCCTGTTAGACTCGTACTCACATTGCTATTACCTTCTGCATTTCAAACCAATTTCAATTAGAATTTATGCATGCATCCGGCACAAAGTAAACTTTGATCTAAACCGATTATAATAGATCAAGATGGCAAGTTGGCAACAAGAAATTATATGTTGTTTTCTGAAGGGAGAAAATTATTGCATATGTTTATTACCTGCAATCTTCGCAATCGAAAGCCCAAGGCCTATTAAAGAGTAAGAAAAAGACATAACTGCAGCCATGATGGAGAGCCACCAAATCTTGTGGAAATTAGGGATTTGAGATAAGACTATCTCAGTACTGGCAAAGATTATCACATACACATTGAGGGGTTCATCACAAGGAACATTGTGGCCGTTCTTGTGGAAACAATAGGATCGTTTAACAGCCCTGATCAAGAACAATACATCATCAAAAATTTATCCAAATAATCATATAGGAAAGCAAAAAAATATAACAGAATGAAATAGGTTGGTAATGTTACGCCATGCTAATCGCTGTTGTAATCGCATAACTAATTGTCACACCAACAAGATTTGCATACTGGACCAATCCACACAATTGAACTTGCACTCCCCCTTCCAAAAATAGAATAAACATTGACAGTCTCAACCTAAAGAAAATAGAAGAATGTAGCCTAAGGTGCAATCTCGATTTTCTTTTTACCTAGATTGGTTTTCACAGCTTCCATGTAAGTGTAGTTCCTCCTTCCATGGATAGGGTCAGGTGATCTATAACAATCAGCTTGAAGAGTAGAACAATGCCAAGTGATGAAAGAGAAAGACACAAGAACAAGTAGCCCAATTACCCAGCCTAACTGTGCCATTGCCCAAGCCAGAGAGAGCACACCAGACCCGATAACTGCAGTAATGATGTATGCACTTGCAGTCACCAAGGTTCCTACTCGTAGTAGATGTGATTAAGATAACAGATTAGCTGTGAGCAACACAATAAATCAAGAGAGGAAAAATATTAGGAAATAGTGAGACCTGTTCTTTTAGCATGGCCATCATCATCCAAGTCTCCATTAGCTAGGCCTTGTTGCCCTGCCATCTCAAAGGATACTTCTCTCAAGTTTCCATTGCCTTGCACCTCTATTGCCATTTTTCTCAAAATGAGGTATCGCGGTAGCTAATGATGGATGGCTTTTTTATGAAGCCAGTTGTTAGAATTAATGAAAGATTCCTCCACTGAGCCCACATATTAATAGCAGTACCTGACAAATTTGCTCAAACATCGAGAAAAGGCCTCACATCGGCCAAAAAGTCCCTCGCTTGTAACGTAGTATGCTCTTCACAATGGATAGGCAAGCTCAGTAATACAACATCCCTTGTGTTCACATAGTGTCTGATAATGTTGTACATCATGTTTCCTGTTACAATTTGAGTCAATCAAAATTTTGAAAGGAAAAACATGAAACATGACAGATGTCTCAGTAGCCAGTGCTTTCCCTCAAAAGTACTTCCCAGTTAAAAATCAACTGTCATAGAGGTTTCAGCTAGATGTCAATGGAAAGAAATTTCTGGAGTTCATAGGTGTCGTTTGAAGTGACACACCTCCATCAAGCAAGAATTTTTCTGTATAGGTATTATTTATACACTTGCTCTTATTCATGCTATTCGCCCCCTTTGAGATATATTCTGTTAAAATGCAGCACTTATGATGTGATTGAAGCTAAAACACAACTTCTATTTGGCATGCTAAACATCACTTGATCTTATCGACCAAGGGGCTGTTTGGTTGGTTTCTTTTGTCCCTGATTCCCTGCTTGATGTCAGTTTTGGCAGCTTTCTTGTCAAAACGTTCTTTTTAGGGGCGTTTTGGCAAGAAAGCTGTCAAAACTACTGACAGGAAACTGTCAGTTTTAGCAGGGAATCAGGGGCAAAAGAAGCAAAACAAACAGCCCCCAAATAGTATCAGCCTCGTGAGGTACTCTGAGAGTGGCTTATTTTAGCATGTCGTGTTGGAGAAAACTTTTTGAAGGTTTATAATCAGTACTTGGAAGTTCATATCTGAGTTCCATTAAATTCTTACTGATCTAGCTGGCGTGGATATGCAGCCATCTTTCTGCCAAAAGCAAACTCTGCAAACCAATCATCGAAGTATACATTATCAAGTGAATAAAAATAGGACAAGATTTATGCTTTTTTATACCACTTGCAGCAAAGCTGAAAAGTAAAAATACCAAACTCGGTTATTTAACAAAAAGACAAAATTGGGATTTGTCAAATGCTCTCCACTTGAGAGGGAAGACACCCATTTATGGGATTTGTCAAAATCCTCTCCGATTGAGAGGGTTTGGCAAATTCTAAAAATTGGGCATTTTTTGCACTTTTGAGATTCAATATTTTAAAAAAAAATTCAAAACAAACACCATATATGGAATCAAAAAAAAAAAAAAACACTTTTTGATCTCAAAACTTGTAATTCATAACAAATGCCAAAATATTTGGTGAAACAAACACCCCCTAATAGAAAACCTGAAAACCATACTTCCATGATTCCATCTCCATTGATAACCGCACAAGGAACTGGCGGTGCTTAAAAACCCACTTGTTGCTGAAGGTGTTTGTAAAATTAGCAGGGGCTTTAAAAATAATTTTTAGATGATATTCAAATGTAACAGGGTGCAAAATTGAAAATGGATTACCAGAAGACCACTTCAATTGAAGCCCTAAGCTTCAGCCTGACGATAACGACCGTCAACCTCTGGAAGATTCATAACGGGCGTTTTAAAATCATTTTGAGGCTGGAATTATTTTTAAAAAGGGCGAGCTTAGTGCAACGTTACAGAGGGCCCAAACAATGAAAAACTAATGCAAAAAAAGAAAATACCAAACCATCACAACAAGAAGTAAAAGTAAGAATATATCAACGGATCCATATGCAAATTATAGCTCTTTTTAATGTAGTAGCCCATTAAAATTCAGTCGATCTTTTAATTGCACGGCTTAGATTCTTCTTACAGCGTTGTTATTGGATGACGGAACAGAAAGGGGCCAGCGTTGTACTGCTGCTGGGTTTGGCGACGCCCATCAACCGTTCGATTTACATCCTCAAAGAGCGAAAGGAGGATGAGTGACCGAAGGCGGTGGATCTTGGAGTGGGATTCGGCGGTTGTTTCTTGGGATGGCATTTTGGCGGGCGTTATATTAGATGCCTGATTTTAGTTGGTGGGATTTGGCTTCAGCAGAGCGTGCGTCTTACCCTTTTTTGAAGATGAGGTGGAGGTTAAGAAACAAGTGGTTATTATTATGTTGCCATCTTTAATAAAGAGGTGGGATTTATTATTCAATATAGAACTCCATCCAGTTTAAACATGTGAGAATTGTTGTTAAAAGAACAAATTTTCAAAATAAACTCATTTAAAGTTTTTATTAGAAAAATCGACCCACTCCCGTTTTATTTACCAAAACCGACCGATTCGTGGCCACGTCAGCAGCGTGGTCACGAAATTGGTCGTTTTTTTTAATGTCGTCTTTAAATAGTTGGGGTTGCCAACTCCGACTATTTAGCTATGTACAAGTTAAATTTGTCGGAGTTACCAACCCCGACAAAATTAGGGTCCTCTCTAATTGGTCGGGGTTGGCAAACCCGACCATTTTAGCAGAGGAGAATCTTCCTACGACAAAATGGTCGAGGTTGGGAACCCCGACCATTTCGTGTAGGTGCACAAAATGGTCGGGTTCCCAACCCCTACCATTTTGCAAACACTTCTTCACCCACTTTCAGCTAGCTAGAAATTCAAACTCCTGTTACATATCAATCCACAATCAATCCACAATGCTATCACAATCACAATCACAATAACACATACCAATCAATAATCTCAAATAAAAGTCCATAATCAATCGGATATGTATCATGCAATTCACATATTATGTATCTGATTGAGTATTGATAGGATGTTTGTGTTTGAAACTAAATATTATGTATCTTAATGCAACGTTACAGAGGGCCCAAACAATGAAAAACCAATGCAAAAAAAGAAAATACCAAACCATCACAACAAGAAGCAAAAGTAAGAATATATCCACGGATCCATATGCAAATTATAGCTCTTTTTAATGTCATCCAAGCTGTTAGTCAATTAAAGAGGCTGAGCTTTATTCTTTTGTCAACAACATCAAGCTGGAATTGATTCAGTGACCGAAGTTTTTGACAACAAGAGAGAAAGGAGCCGCCAGAGAGAGCCTCTTTTGTTGAAAATGGAGGGGCTAAGAGTCAAATTAGTGATATGATTGGTGGCTTAATTGATGCTAATGAAGCCTATAAATCTGCTGCATCCTTCGAAGCAAAAATAGACAGAGCCATTTTGAGTGAGAAGAAAAGCAGAGGGTTAGAGAGCTCATTTGAGTAAAATTTTGTGAGAGAGATTGAGAGTAGAGGAAAAATATTTTGTGAGAGAGATTGAGAGTAGAGGAAAAATCAAGAGTGATTTGTTTGTGAGATTATTGAGTGATTGTAATCTCTATTTGTACTCTTCCTCTCTATTAGTGAGATCTATCCCCTCCTTACCCCGTGGACGTAGGCATATTGCCGAATCACGTAAATTTGGTGTCTTAGTGAGATCTATCCCCTCCTTACCCCGTGGACGTAGGCATATTGCCGAATCACGTAAATTTGGTGTCTTACCTGCTGTGGTACTTGTTTTGATCTCGTCTGTGATTTTTCGGTTTCGTTGCTCACAACAAGTGGTATCAGAGCTCCGGGTTGGATTTGGGGCTTATTCGAAGGATTCGCGGAAAGATTCCTATTTGAAGAATTAGATCGACAACATGGGAGAAACAAGCACATCGGGATCGTCTCTTTCGAAGGCGATACAGAGTCTGAGCACCAATAATACAAAAATTTATGTTCTGGAGTTTGACGGCAAGATCAATTTCGGTTTGTGGAGGTGTCATGTGATGGACGCTTTGGATGCACAAAATTTAGAGGAGACTCTTGAATTACAAGAGAAACCCGCTGATATGGAGGACAAGGTTTGGAAGAAGATGAATAGTAGGGCTTGTGGAGTTATTCGGTCATGCTTGATGCTGGATCTTATTTATGATGTAATGAACGAGACGTCGGCGAAGAGAATGTGGGAAACACTCAATGAGAAGTATCTGACGAAGAGCATTGAGAATCGGCTTCACTTGAAGAAGAGGTTTTACCAATTCAAGATGAAGAGGGGAGTTTCCATTCGGGAGCATGTTAACAACTTCACGAAACTAATTTCGGATATGGCCAATGTAGATATCATGGTTGAGGATGAAGACAAGGCGATACAACTTCACGAAACTAATTTCGGATATGGCCAATGTAGATATCATGGTTGAGGATGAAGACAAGGCGATACTACTATTGTGTTCGTTGCCGGAGGATGATTTTGGTACGTTTGTTCTCACCATGATAAATGGAAGAACTACGGTTAGCTACAAGGAGGTGACCTCAGCTTTGGTGAATTATGAGTTGAGGAAGAGTAATGACGAACCCTCCGAGAAGGCATCGAGAGATGTATTAACAGTTCGAGGCCGTGGTCCAAACCGTCGTCTAGGTGATCGCTCAAGATCGAAGTCAAGAGGTGGCCATAGAAATATTAGTAGGAATCAATGTCGTTTTTGCAAAGAAGAAGGACATTGGAAAAACGACTGTCCAAAGTTGAAAGATAAAGCTGGGAAGAATAAAGGGAAAGTTGTACAAGCTTCGGAAGTGAATGTTGTCAAGGCTAGTGACGACAATTCAGATACGGATTCTTCAGGCTATTATTGCTCTGCATTACCGTCAGTTTGTTACGCTGACTCTACGGAGTGGATGATGGATTCTGGTACTACATACTATATTTGCCCTAGGAGGGATTGATTCTCTAGCTTTGAGGAGTTGAAAAGAGGAGATGTTGTGCTCATAGGTAATGATCACGTATGTCCTATTGGTGGTATTGGTACAGTACGGATCCGGATGTGTGACGGGGTGACTCGGGAGCTGAAGGAAGTGAGATTCGTTCCTCAATTGACGAAGAATATCATTTTGCTTGGAACTTTGGAGGCAGCTGACTATAAGGTGATCTTGGAGAATACGACTCTGAAGGTCACAAAGGGGTCCATGGTGGTGATGCGAGGTGTCAGGGAAAACAACCTTTACTACTTGAAGGGAAAGACAGTAACAGAGGGTCTGACAGCTTCGATTACCACAGAGGAAGATACTACCAGCTTATGGCATATGAGATTGGGACACACTGGTGATAAGTCCCTGCAGGTATTGGCGAAGCAGGGGCTATTGAAGGGTGCAAAGACCTACAAGATGGAGCTGTGTGAACATTACATACTTGGGAAGAAGACAAGAGTGAAATTCGGCAGCGCTATTCACAATACCCAAGGTATATTAGATTACATTCACACAGATGTTTGGGGCCCTTCCAAGCACACATCACTTGGTGGGGCCAACTATTTTGTCACTTTCATTGATGACTATTGCAGGAGGAATTGGGTATACCCGATAAAGCATAAACATCAGGTCCTGGATATTTTTATGGAGTGGAAGAAGAAAGTGGAGCTACAGACAGGTAGAAAGGTGAAGACTCTACGTTCAGATAACGGTGGAGAGTATAAGAGTGATCCGTTTCTGCAGTTTTGCCAGGATCACAGCATTAGACGACATTTCACAGTTAGAGAGACACTGTAACAGAACGGGGTGGCAGAGAGATTGAATCGTAGCTTGCTGGAGAAGGTGCGATGTATGATGACGCAGAGTGGATTGCCTAGATCCTTTTGGGCCGAGGCGTTGGTTTATGCGAGCCATCTCGTGAATAGATTGTCGTGCACTGCGATACATGAGAAGACTCCTATGGAGATATGGTCTGGTTCTGTAACTAGTGATTATGATTTAATTCGGATTTTTGGGTGTCCAGCTTACTATCATGTGAATGATGGGAAATTGAATCCGAAGGCGACAAAAGCAGTCTTTGTGGGCTTTAGAGATGGAGTGAAAGACTTTAAGTTGTGGGATCCACAAAATAAGAAGATGATCATTAGCAGAGATGTCACTTTTGATGAGGCGCACATGATGAAGCCTCAAGTCCCTCAGCAGGTGGAGGAAGGCCAGACTAGCGGGATATCGCAGGAGGTGAAGGATGATGTGACTCCACACACTTCAGATGACATTGTATCCATTAAGGCTCCTACAGAGGTGACACTGGAAGGAGACGTAATGACAGATGGACAGATGGAGGATACAGTGAAGGTTGGGACTCAGGAACAGGGTCATGTTCAGGAGTCCATTGCAGCTAATAGACCAAGAAGAACCATTCGTCGGCCAACTAGATATGATGATGTGATGATTGCATATGCTTTATCAGTAGAGGTCGTTGATGATTTGGTTCCTTCTACATATAAGGAAGCAGAGTCAAGCTGTGATTCAATCAGGTGGAGGGAAGGTATGGAGGAGGAGATGCACTCTCTTCAGAAGAACGACACTTGGGAACTTGCAAAGCTACCGAAGGGTAAGAAGGCTATTGGATGCAAATAGGTATATGCAAAGAAAGAAGGATCTTCTAATGAAGATATTCGGTACAAAGCCAGATTAGTGGCCAAAGGATATGCCCAGCTTGAGGGCATAGATTACAATGAAGTATTTTCACCGGTCGTGAAGCATTCGTCGATAAGGATACTATTAGCATTGGTGGCACAGCTAGATTTGGATTTGGTCCAGATGGATGTGAAGACAGCCTTTCTACATGGAGACTTAGAAGAGGAGATCTATATGACACAACCGATGGTATTCAAAGCTGCAGGAAAGGATGATTTGGTATGCAAACTGAAGAAGTCTCTTTATGGATTGAAGCAATCATCGCGATAATGGTATAAGAGATTCGACAGTTTTATGATTGGCCAAGGGTACACGAGGAGCCCATATGACCCGTGTGTTTATATGCACAAGCTACAGAATGGTGAGTATATTTATTTGTTGTTATATATTGATGATATGCTCATTGCTTTCAGGAATACTTCAGCTATTAGAAAATTAAAAAAGGAGTTGACATCCGAATTTGAGATGAAGGATCTTGAAGAAGCAAAGAAGATATTGTGTATGGAGATTGAGAGAGACAGGGTGAAAGGGACGTTGAAGCTAACTCAGAGGAGCTACTTACAGAAGATGCTAAAGAAATTCAGCTTTGATAGTAATGCTAAGGCGATGAGTACTCCATTAGCTCCCCACTTTAAACTTTCAGCTAAGATGTCACATGTTTTAGTTGAGGATCGTGAC